CAACCATTTTCGTTTTGCTGATGCTCTAAAAACAGCAAGAGGATCTCGACCTCATAGTCAGATTTTTTCAACAAGATCTTAGAAGAAAAATATAATACTCTTCGAATTCCTTGAGTGGATTGAATAATACTTTTTGTTGATATATCTATCTATATGATCTTATAAACTGATCTTGTTGAACCGATGCGAGGTTGGTAGACGTCTTCGTTGTCGTCGCTGTTGTTGTTGTTGTCGTTGTTGCTGGTGTTTTTCAGCCCCACTCGTAACAGCACGGCTCTGAAGATGGCGAATTCGCCGAAACGTCAGCCATCGACCAACAACTCCAACGGCAACGACAACAACAACAAAAACAACGAAAATGAAAACCTATACCAACACCGCATTGGCTCAGCAAGATCAGTTCATAAGGTCATGTAAATAAATATATCAACGATCTATACCGAGGTTCATAAAAAGACGGTCTTTTGAATATTTTTTGCATCTACAGTGACCGATAGTCGAACTATCAGCCACTGAATGATTTCAGTGTTTTTCTTCGTGCGGACCAGTGGAATTCGAAGAATTTGGCCGATGGTACATTTTTTGTGTGGGCTGGATTCCGCTCTCCCGTCAATTCACTCTGAGCAAGTGTTTAAGTAAGGAATTCCTTTGTGAAAAAGACAAAGGTAATAGTCAGAGATAAGTCAAAGGGGCCCACTACCTACATATTTAGGGAAATAATTACTAGTTATCGAGTAGAAGAATTCTTTCTCATCCGTTCATTTCTTACAGTTAACGAAGATGGATAGTCCTCTTTAACAATGAACTCTTTGATCAGCATGCTGCACCCAAAGAGACCCAGAGACCAGCGGAAGGATCCCGCTCCATTGGTTATCACAAACGATACATAAAACTATTGAAGTTATCTCAAGCTTATCAAAGAAAGAATATGTATTGAAGTTATTGTCATACATAGATAGCTTTGCCACATATTTTCAGTGTTTCTTCCTCTTAAATCTGTTGATCGAAAGTTACAACATTATAACAAGTTATAATAGTATGGTGGCGTGCAGTTTGATGAAAGAACAGGACTACTTGAATACGAAAATCTTCACTCGATCGAAGCTCCACTTCAATGGTTTCGACTCTGTGCGAGAATGGACAACCATATCGCGAGTACGGCCACTTGTGGTCCATCTACTTGAATCAGTTCAACTCTAAGGAAGGCGAAGACTTTGGGACGTTAACCGAATAAAACTTTCTTTATCAACCACTTATTAGCTTAATAATCGAAGAATTTGTGGATTATCCCAATACGGTTTGCTATCATGCATTAACTGAACTACTCCCATTAGAAAAAGAGTGGTAACATGTTTAAAATGTCCTGAACTGTAAGAATATTTAGTGGAACAGACCTAGGGAGAAAGACATACCAATCGAAATTTCCGTTTGCATTCCTATTCATTACTCCTTGAGCGGTCTATATCGACCTAAATGAGCATAGTAATTTGTCATTAGAGGAAAACATTTGTTTCCACGAAACCACATTCACCTTACAAGTCATCTAAACGGATTCCAACCAAGGATGCTCCCTACCTTCTAAGAATTGTACCGTCGGAATTATTCGTGAAACTCTTAAGTATGTAATAACACTGATGAACGTTGTTCACACGAAGTGTTTGTTCTTGTTGAGACGGCACTACTCGTTGTTATCATGTAATAGAGTCGTCATCGCCAACGTTTCATAAAGCTTGGCCTTCTTTAGAGCTTGGAAAGGATATGCTTCCGTCTAGCCTTTTTTCACAGTTCTATAGCCTCTATGAAAGCTCAAGGCTTTCAGGCTTGCGTTTTTCTTGCTTTGTTAAATCCCAGTAACGGTAAAGTTTTTCAAAAACCTCTGTGTAATCCAAAATTTCGAATAACCTCGAGCACCTCAATGAACACGTGGTTAAATAACCACGATTTCCAGAGAGGTCGAATAATGTGGGTGAAATCATAAACGTAGTTAGAATAATTAAAGCTCCCCAATGATCTCGTCTGCTCCTTATTCCACCCTTTACTGGCAACGATAGATTGTTCGACAGCTCCGAAAAAAAACGAAATTATTGGTCGTCCGTCCACCAAGGAGTGGACCATTCCTAAATAGGCACTGTGACCGAGGAATCGCTACTGCCCTATGAAAATGCAACTTTTTTAAAAAATCAACTCCTTGTCATCCCCTAGGGGAATCGGTTTGACAAAAGTGGCAATATTTCTCTGAAGTTTTTCACCGCTCCAAATCCGGGTGGGGATTGCTGAGCGGTTAAGTGGAGAACCCAAATGTATTTTTTGCTGTTCAACGGGATACACGTCAAGTTGGGCAGGTTAAATAGATAAACAAATAGACGGCCTATTCTTGTATGTCATGGAAGCAACAGCACTTCTTTCATTCGATTCGTAGGCTTGCAGCTATGTTCTATAGAGGTGAAGGCCTTTATATGTGAATTCAGCTTCGTTATCTTCCTATTTAATGCTGCTTTAACGTTGCTTTCTCCGGAATGCTAAAATAACCGCGATAGAGATTCTGATCTCGATGGGCTGAACCTCAAGAGGATGATAGATCTCTCTGAGATAACTCCTCGAAAAAATAGAAGGATATGTTTGCCATGTGTGGAAACCAATGCTTTGGCGACAACGTGCAACCTATAGAAAAATTGGACCTTATAAACCTCACCATTTCCTGGTTGTTCACTTCACTGACTAACGATGCCTGCGAAGAATAGAAACAATTTGTTTTGAATTTCCCAGCTTGTCAATTGCGCTCGGACAAGATAGTAAGCTTATAAGCATATGGATGATTGTCGCCTAGCAGATTATATATATATGCATATATATACATATATACATATATATGTGTATGTATATATGAACTCAAAACTTCAGCAGAGTGTCAGTTACAAACGAAAGAAGAATTTTCGCTGAAAACCGTGTAATGCTTAGAAGACTTATTGAGAACCAATGCAATTTTTTCACTGATAAGTAGCACAGTGAACGGGTAATGCAGTGATACTAACGACATTCATTACGTGGACGGATTAACGTGCCAATGTCCTGGCTCCACTCCGCTACAAGCTACCTAAGCCTATCATGCCATAGAGATGGGAAATTGGTGCCAGACTTGTCTGAGAAAAGCCCACTCTCTCTTATCCATGTGGAAACTCGCCAGTACGGCAATGTCAAGATTACAGAGAAAAAGCTCGACCACTATTCCATGAAATTCATAAAGTAGCAAAGATCCTCAAGGGGCAACCGAACACGCAAAAACTTGGAAGACCCTTGTGGGTAATGAATGCGAGTGGAAAAAGTGCTTGGTTCATCACAGTGTGACATGTCTCATGTTGGCTCCTGTAATAACAGAAGTAGTAAGTTAGCGCGAGGTCCTAATAAAGAATTCAATGTCATTCAGTCACTTTCACTTATTTCTAACCCTAGACTAAATGTTAAATTTTCACTTTCTGCTATAAAGTTTCTTTCAAAACTATTTTCATTCCTTAATTAGATCACATGCTCATTTGTCGATTTTGAACTAACCCTTGCTGATGTTCCTCCATTAAGAAGTTCCTTCATGACGAAATTGTGAAAAGACCTTCAATTTCGATAGCAAACTTACGACAACGGTTGGGTCAATCTCTGCGACCTTGATATTGGCAATTAATAAAACTGATTATCGTTTGAAGGAAGTCTAGCTAAGAGTAAACCATTACCAGCATCCACCACCGTCTTGGTATCAAAGTCGCAGGGTGGTAAATCTTCCTCTGATCCACAAGTGGCTGCGACTGCCTGTCATGGCGACGACCTGGGGTAGACTTTAGCCAGGCTGCCATCGGGATTTCAGAGAATCACATTTGCTTAACCAGCAAATCTCAGGAAATTGCAGATTATACTGGGGCCCGCACAACCAGTGAGGACGGGCCATTCAAATATCAACTAAGTAGGATTACCGTTAGATAGAGAAGGTGCGACGAATAATGTACATATTTACAACTACATGCCTAAGGTAAAAACAACGACGTGATTCAAAGCGCTACAAAATCAAGCGGCTTTATTACTGGATCCATCTGGTACGCAGTAAAAACACACAATTCATTCCTGTCTTCACTTAACTCCTCGACTACCACTTACATCTAGTATAACGTTCACACAACATTATTATTCTGATTTTCCTATTTGTTTATCTTATTTGAATAATAGGAAATGGTGAGCTCAACCAGAGGAATGCTGAGATGTGAGCGAAATTGGGGAATTTCAAGAGAGCTTCGAACCCGCGATTACCCATACCGCTGCTCACGTGCTGCCTACCACACCAACCCAGGTCTCTGCTCTACCTTCCTCTAAGCCAGTTTTCTGCTCTGTCAATGCTATGTGCAAACATCTGTCAACGGAAATGGAAGGCAAAGAAAGAGAAAGATTAGTCCTGGCTTCGGTTAGTGGGGTGGATTGCACGTAAGCCCACAGTAAAGGTAATTGCCGGTTCGAAGCCCAAGTGAGCTTCTAATTTTTCCTAACATCTCATCATCCCTGTGGTTGTATTTCGTATAATACCTTACCGTAAAAAAAAAGACAGATGACAAATAATAGATGAAAGTTAAAACGATGATAATGTTCTTTTCGCAAGAAATACAAGTAGTGCTTGGAAGATAGAATATTTATCCTTCCGTAATTTCCAGCGAATTCTGTAATGAACAGTTGCCGATAAGAAAGTGCCTAAGACACCATAAAGCATTGTCATTGCAGATCACTGTGATCAGCCAAATCGGATTATCACTGTTGTATTTGCAGATCTGACATAGTCACTTGAAAACATGACGATGACCGTTCATTTCTATATACTCGTTGGCTACAAGTGGTTCGCGTAAACTAAACGGTAATTACTTGATATTACAACCATGCCAAATGACTACCAGTTTGTAAGAAATACTTGGAATTTTCAAAGCATTTAAGGCTATGGAGCAACTACCGATCAAACGTAGTATTTTTAGACTATGGCGTCAGATAGAAACATACCGACAACTGTTAAATTTGCCTTAGGAGGAGCGGCTGGGTGAGACATGTTAAGCCATAGTTACCAGCTTACTCCGAAGTTCCCAACGTTATGAAGCTGAATCCCCAATGCCAGTACTTAATTTCAGGGTTGGTGCGACGTTATTAGTTCATCCAACGGATTTTCTTAAATGTCGAATGCAATTATCTTCAAGAAAAGGTAAAATTCAGTAAACACATATTATTGTCCGCTCAATTGCTGCAGTTCCACGTAATGCTTGGAAACCTGTGCTATTTGTCGTGGATGACCAACAGTGGTCGTTATTATATCGGAAAGTGAAAGCAGATAGTCGGCGCTCGAAGGTGGAAATTTGATGTCGCTCTTGAAATAGGCGAAAAAACCATGCGTGGAAAGCTCCAGTCGTTGTTGGATGCACTGAGAACACAAAAACCGTTCGAAGGAAGGCTTTGTGTAGAAGGCTTAACGCCAGTAGACGAAGAAACCCGCCATTTCAGTAATCCATTAACCAGTAGTAGTTAATGGTGCATCAGCAGTCAATAATATCTCACCTAATATCCTCAGTTTTACATTGAACGGCGGTATTTCATGGGTCCTGACACCATTAACTTCCTAAACTTTCATACCGAATCATAATCTCCCATAGATTAGAGAAATAAAAGCTCTCGGAGTAATCCCTGGGGAATGCGCTATACATTCGACTTCACCCAGCATCGTTAGAGGTGATTGAATGCATATCTGGCCTTCAAACAATGACTCGCGGTGCCCTACCGATGTACCAAGCCACTGCTGCTATCCTACCAGACAAGTCTCGTATCGATTTCTCGACCCCGCCCAGAGGGTTGGAGGGCTTGGTGAGCCTGGGGCGCGGTATCGATTCCCATATGTGTTGCAGGGAGCCTCTAACCACTGCGCTACACCGGCGTTGACAGCGCATTTGCAAATCACAGCAATTCAAAGAGACATGGGAATAATGTTTAACTGTAAAAGAAACTTTGTGACACGGTATCGATACAATTATGATTATGTATTTGAGGTAAAAAACAATTTAATTCGAGTTTCCACGCACTCAAGAGTATTACGAAAAACGAAGGACTATTAGCAGTGTATAACGGATTGAGTGGCAATCTTCTCAAAGAAACCACCTACACCACCACTCGTCTGGGGGTTTTTACATGGCTTCTCGAATATTTCTCAACGTGAGCAAGCTTTTTATCGAAGTTTAGAAGATCTCTGAGATCTTATAAATACCGCAGCAGTGATTTGGTTGAAACTGAAAGTGGATGACACCCAGTTCAAAACCGTGATTTGAAAGGTGTTATTATCCAACGTTGTGAGGAAAAATGATGATGAAAAAATGAGTGGGTAAACTTGCTTGAATGGTGGAATGAATTCCCTTAAAAAACCAACCGTTAAAGCTGCAACAAATTTTTATTTGTCGGATAATCTCATGGTTAGGCGAGATTCTCTGAGTAATAGCTAGTGCCTTAAAGTAGATAAGAACACATTTAAAAATAGAGAAAAAAGATGAAGAATAAGTGGAGAAATAGAAAGTGCTGAAAGTACACGAAAAAATCATTTACAAAAGAAACAGCACAGTGAAAGCAGTAAGGTCTTGTCTGGAGGGACGTTTAGGACCACATGCATATTTTACGATTCACAAGCGTGTTAGAAAAAAAACGCGTTGCTCTATTTTCTTAGCGTTCGCAGACACTCTTAACATATTTTGGAATAAGTAACGAGATCTGAAATCGTGGATCGTATTTAAAACCAGTCCATGTTATCAGGAAGGATAAACCAGTATCATTCACGAAAAAGGCTGCTCTCGGAGCCACGGCTGGCGCTTGCGCTGCAGCGGTGGGCACTCCGGCAGAAGTGGTTATCATACGGATGTGTGGTGCGTTAACTGTATTTACGTCTTCTACAGATTTACAACGGTTCTTAAGCAGAAACTAGCGACTCTGTTTAGCACTCTTGCTATGAATGATACCCATAGGTGTCATAATGGCCCTGCGGGAGTGGCCCAGTGAGCACAGAGAAAAATTACGTGGCGTTCATTCAACAGAAAAAGCGAAATTAGGCATCTTCGTGAGAATGTTAAAGCATACGCAACCATGTTCATGAATGTCATTGTGTGTGTGGGTGGCCAGATTGAACCGATATGCTTTAATCAATGATGACTTGTGCGAAGGCACTAGGCTATTAAAACACTGGTTATTCACGATAGCTGACGTTTTAAAGGCTTCCACAACGTTAACAGAATAGTCCGAAACCTTAATTTCAATCGTTGGAGACAGAACTCTCCGTTTTGCATTTTATAATTCTTCCACTTATTAGTGAAACAACTACGCAACATGCAATGCAATGCGAATGCAACAAGGAGATCACCTTTGTAGTTTCTCAATACATTGGAGAAGCAATATATCTAAGAAAAAGTATACTACTTTGTATAAGATTCCACTTACTATCAATACTTTTTAGTGGTAGTTTATGATGTGAAGTGCAATCACATGGGTACTGTGATGTGAGATAGATATGGATACTCTGTACTGATATAATACACTAAGATATGTGTACTGATATCGACGAGATAAGCAAAAACTAGTTGAGAAATTAGGGCATCTACTGGTGTGGTGCGTAGCACGTGAGCCACGGTAAGGGTGATCGCCGGTTCGGAGCCTACTTGAGCTCCCGGGTTTTGCTCATATCTCAGCATCTTTGCGGTTGCATATCCACTTTAACTGTAACTTGATGACGAAGTCTGTCTCCTAGATGAAGTCAAGGGTTACCAGCTGCCAATTAATAAGCGATGTGAAACGATTCCACAATCTCTGCAGATGAGCAATAATATTCAAGCGACGAATGCATACGGACACCACAACGAAAACAACTTTGGATGCTTTAAAATTTAATGATTAGAGCCGACCAAAAATCTTTAAGGTGATGGAGCTTTCCCACCAGAACAAAGACGAAACTACAAACATGCTTTCCATGCTCTCTCACAAATCACCAGAACAGAAGGACTGAGCACACTTTACCGGGTAATAATTCCAGAGTTGAGGCACTTTTAATGAGGCGCCTATTTTATGGACCCATGTTTACCTTAATTTTAAAATTAAAGACGGGTCGACGAATAATGTGTTTTTCAAGGGATTTGGACCAACGGTGGCACGTGCAATGGTGCTAAACGGGTCTCAGTTGTCCACCTACTCTCAGACGAAACAACTCATATTGACAAGCAAGAAGATTGAAGACGGTAACAGCACAGTATTGATTTTATAGAAAGAAATCGTTACGTAGGATTCTAGGGGACATCATCAGAGTAGTTCGTCATCATGATACTAGAAGTTTTTTCCTTTATGTTCTCGTGACTGGGAGCTGATGCTGGGTCTACCGTTGCCTTTCTCTCCTGTTATTTAATAATTTTTCGATAAAAATACTTGGACGGAGAAGAGAAAGAATGGAAATAGAAAAGGTCCCTCACCTTTAATTCCTTATTTAACTCAATCGCATGCCACATTTGATGACAAACTGCAGTTCGTATTAAGAATGAATAGACTAATCTTGATAATAAAAGCATTGAAGAGATGCAAAGGACAAATAAAAGAAAGAATGCTCTAGTGAGGTGGTTTCCGAAGTTATCGTGTTTCGTTTTTTTATCGTTCGCTACAAAATTTCTTTTTAGGGATTCTGTGCCATTTTCTATCATCCATGGTATCCGGCCTTGCAGCAACAGTAACTTCGCTTCCCATTGATATGATTAAAACGAGGTCATTAATTATTATTTAGAGATCTGGCTTTAGTCGTATAACATCGTATTCATGTTTAGAATCCAAGCCATGAAAACAATAAATGGTGTGCCAGAATATAGTGGTCTGATGGATGTTTTCAAAAAGGTACCTTCCAGCCTCTAAATTAAACCACATTCATCACCGCTCCAGGTCAAGCGAGCCTCTCATCCGCGAAGCTCCTTCAATCCACAAAGGCTGGCGATTGTTGTTTTAGAGACCTGAGAACGCAGTAGTACAGCTTATCGGGAATATCAGTGAGATTCGGTCCGACCACTGTTTAATGGTTTCGAGGGTTTTGTGAAGAAAACCAAGATCTCCAAGTATGATCTGAATCCACAAGCAAATACAAAGACTTTCATGGATAATGGATGCGAGGAAACGAAACGAGTGAAAGTGTAGGGATCCACAGAATACTTGACGTCGGGTTATGTGAAAAATCCTCCTGGCTTTAGTGCCGTTCCAGCTGAGGTGTAGTAGACAATCGACGAAATTACATCAACTTCGTAATGACTTCGCCTTTTCAGGTTCTATATAACGAAGGAGTGTTGGCATTTTGGAAGGGTTTCACACCGTACTACATGAAACTCGGACCCTACACAATTCTGTCGTTCGTTTTCCTTGAACAGTTCAATGCAGCCTATCTTCGACAATTCGTATACAAAAGAAAAAGAGAGTGAACTGGAAGTAGACAACACTTTATGCATTTATTTTTTTTTATTTTTCTTAATGTCTCTTAATAAAAATGGTGGCATTTTTTAACGCCTTATATAGAGAAACTTTCACACCAATACTCTTTGAAAGGTTTGCTCTCACCAACTGGTCGTATTTCCTCACAAGTGGATAACTTAGGTGAAAATTACGTAACTTTCAAACTGAGCAATAAGAGTATTTGTAAGCTAGTGAGTAGACGAGCACCCCGCTTCTTAAGCAAACAGGTGATTCTAACGAGCTGTTTATCGATGGACATTCGTTTGGTGGACTTTGCTGCGCTCAGAATTGTACACAGCTCACAGTGATATGTAATCCACTTAATAAGTACTTTCACAACACCGGTGGAAAAGCCCAAAACATGACAATCCCCAAAAAATACCATCAAAGCACCTACGATTCTTTTTCCGAGCTGTCTACTTGCTTGGTAAACGAGATCAAGGGACGCATGATTTACTTGAGGTGAAAAATGTGCCTGTCTCAGATCAAAAATGAACCTGAGGTATGAGAAGAAAATGAACTTGTAGTTACCAAACTTTATTTAGTGCTATTTATGTTGGAGACTTTTATTGAGGGATATCCCATGTATTCAGCTCCATTGAGTAGAGGTGATTGAATCCATATATGGCCTATGCAATAAGTTCCGGTAACCAGTCGATGATCGAACCAACGACCACGTGTATGGTAGTAAAGTACTCAACCACTGCGATACATGTACCGTCATGGTCTCTAATATGACTGCCCAATACATAGAATCACGGAGAAACTACCAGCGTGATAAAAAAGGCGAAGGCATGTTCTCAGATGCAGTGTAGATGGTTTTCTAAGTCCTGCTTGTCTAATAGATTAACAAAATGGGTAAGTAACACTCTCTTCACATTTAAGAAGACGTAAATAGAAAACTTAATGCTGAAGCAAATCCTGAACAACATATTGGGTGGCCTAGCGATTTTTTTAACTTGAGACAAGCACGCCACTCGTCTCACGTGAACTTCAAGCAGGTACTCTCACGAAACTGTTAAATACACAAGACAGGAAAACAACTGGTGTTTCAAAGAACGTGTTCACCGTACGATTGAAAACTAGCTATTGATACAACCACAACGCTGAGATATTTGCAAAACTCCGAACCGCAAGGACCGTAGGTGTCCGTGGTGGAGATCGAACACACTATAATCCTTTTCGGTGGCTAACGCGCTCACCACCACACCATGCGAGTCCTTTTTCGCCTGTCTCTCAGCTATCAGCCTCTCAGATTCTCTGTTGGCCGGCGGCATCAGCAATCACCCGTCAACGGTATTGATCTAGGGAGACCAAATCGGCAACGAACCCAGTTAAACTGAGGCTGTAGTCGAAATCACAATGTTGACTTTTTATTTACTGCTTATTATCATTTTTCACGATAGGGTATTACGTGTGATAGAGCCATTATCACACGTAATACCTTGCCTTGAAAAATTGTAATAGGTAGTAAACAAAAATGCAACTAGCTATTGAGTTTTCCGTTGGGGGTGTGACGGTAACTGTCCGAATATACCGCTAGTTTAACCATTTCTAAGCTCTGGAGAACGCGAAATCCGCGGAAATGTTTGCCATCGATAAATGTCAACAACCTAATGTCAACTCATAAGGAAAATGGAAGCCCAACGTACATGGTCCAGAAGAATTCAGCCTTAGGAACTTTTAGGCTCGGTTTAGGTAAAAAAAAAAAGATTTATCGAATGATGAAAGTGACGGATAATATAGTCTCTGGTAGTAAAAATTATTCAGACAGCAGTTTTTCTAACTCCGCTCACGACTGTACGGAACTTTCCAGCACTATAGAAAATCTGAAATCAATGAAGTGTGATGTAAAAAGTAAACCATACACTAGGAACCACTTATATTAAAAGTTATCACTTATTGCGTTCCATCTTACCTTCTCCATCATTCCCATAGGGAGGTCCTTAGCATTTTTGAACTCTTCTTGAACATCCAAGCCTGCGGCCTCCGCCATTTGCCACTGTAAGTTAGGAATGATTGCTAGTGTTTCGTTTTTGAATTCAGGAAAAATAGTTGTTCAAATGCCAGGCTTCAGGCTGTGAGTTCATTCAAGCTTTAGAAGAGCTCATATACTTTATTTGGGTGGATTTACTTGAAGGATAGATTACTGACACAAAATTTCAAACAAGACTAACTGTATCGGCCATGGTGGCCACAGCAACTCTTTTAGCCACAGGCATAGCCCCGTAAGGTGCAGAAAAGATGGAAATCAAATGACGGGTACACACAAGCAGAGTAGATTTGTACTCCTTTTTCTGAAATGTCCCACACTCTCAGTTAAAAATAACATAAAGAATTAGCCACCTAAAAGAAACAAAGAGCTTAAATACCCAATGAGCATATTTAACTTATGAATTTGGTAACAAAGTTTTAGATGCAACAAGCTATAAACAGCTCGTCTACGTAGAGAGACAGCAAAAGTTTTGAAAAGTTAAATTTCAAAGCCGAAGAAATCTATACAAAGTGTGTACGAGTCTATCAGCACTTTTTTACACTCATAGTGGTAGTTTTCGACCATTTGATTGTATATGGAGCCAGGAGCAATCGCTGTGGAACTCACATTCAATTTCAATAGGTCGCGAACGATCTCCGCTTGCCAATATTCGAAAAACGTTGAAATTTTCTCTTGTGGCAATAGGCTGCACAGCGTCCGACCGACACGAGCAATGGAATCGTAGTTGGGAAAATGGAACTGACGAAGGTAGAAATATGTCAAAATCTGGAAAGTCTTTCAACCAAGATTGATATTGCCGAACACTAAACTTTACTCTCTTATGTCGAGAACGTTCCAGATGTAGAATTCCTATAGACTACCGTTCTCATATCAGATGCGTGTGTAGATGCAAGTATTAAGCGATCCTCGTGAGAAACCATTAGTAATTGTTCCGAGGGAAGTGACATATGTGTGCGGAACACAACCTGTAAGTGAATTTTGTTGATATGTGTCGAAAAGTTCCGCTCTTTAAATGCCACTAGATCGTGCGATCTCATGACAACCATTTTTGACATTTTTCTTTATTCTGGCCCACAAAAGGCAAACGTTTATCAAGCGAAAGGCGATCTATCAAGTCAGTACACTTATCCTTTCAAACAAGTCTGAAACCAACTCCAGATGAAAGGCTTGATGAGGCCGGAGGAAGCAACGTCGTATGTATTTCAGGTCACCTCTAACCGCTGCACTACAAGCTCCCTATCATTTTATGTAGTAAGAAGCTATGATCTATCGAAAACCTGCCTCTAGTGTTGGACTGGCATCGGCAAGCACTTTGCGGTGTACGAAGTACTCTCTTGGCGAGCCATCGGCCACCGTGATCACCCAATCGTAGCCTGGTGGCTTTCCACCTGCGAGGATCGTGGCTAAAACCTTCTCAGCTGCCGGTGTTGTTGGTGGCTGTTTCCTAATTTGTCACATAGTGAGAAACGTGGAAGTAAAGGAAAAAAGGAAGAAAAATGCGCACATACAAGTTAAGATCAATAAGCTCGTCAAGTAGAAAGTACGAGGAGGGGATTGTAAGCAGTACTCTCATTGTTAAGGTCGGCAACTGGTCCATAATGATATTCAGTTTGCTTAGTGGCAGCAACGATTCAGCAACGAAACACTCATCGCTTCTCGTCAGAGGAACTGGAAATTTGTGGGTGCTTCATAAGAATTTGAATGAAATAAAAATACGTGAAGGAGAACTTGCAAAACATACTCATTCACATGGATCATTCCTATCTAACCATTGCACTACAAGCGCTCTATCACTTTATGCAGCGAGAAGATCAGCTACGGCAAGAAGAAGCTCATTGCGGCAACTTACTTTGTACTTCAGATTTTCCTATAAGGGTCAGATAGATATCCTTTACTTCTGGAGGGTACTGATTAGGGGGACAGTTGTTACCCAGACCTGAAAATTTCTTTCCATCAGTTACATTGCATCCATTATACAGTGAAAAGCTTCATTGGAAATACAGAAGCGTGCAGGATTTACACAGCATACCCTATAATAAATGCCCTTATTTAGGAAGACAGAGATGTGACGCAGCTTGACGACACAAATGAGATTCCATAACATTAGGCTGATCACTTTCACGTTAGTCAGATGTTATTCTGTCCGTTACTACTTTCACCGACGAAACGTATCACCGCCACGATAGGTATTTCATGAAGTTGCTCATTACATAGGCAGATGAAAACTTGAATTCGTGCTTTATTGTAACGTTGAGGCAACATTTGTACAGCAAGGTGCAAAACAATACAACCCTCCCATAGGTTTAACTTTTTATTTACAGCCTATTATTTTTTCAAGGTAAGGTATTATGTGAAGTACGAATACAAGGACGTTGAGGTACTTTCAAAACTCAGACTCTAGGCCATCTTCGAAATCGCGACTACCTTTTCTGTGTTACCCACTGTACCACCGAAGCCGTTGCTTTGCCTTTCTCTCATTCAGCCTTCTTTTCTCCCCATAGTTTTTTCAGCCATTGTATAGTCTGAAGAAGTAGCTATCTCACGACACATCAGCGAGTGTTGATTAAACATTTTTCGACAGATCGTAGTGCATTCGTTAGTCGTATACTCAGCCTTACGCACTCAGTAGACTATACTGGATACTCGTATTCTGCTTGGACTCGTTATCACTGTGTTTAGCAATTACCATCGCTCGGTTTACAGCCATAGGACTGCTGCCGCGGTCGTATAATTTGCGCCGGAACATTGTTGATGACATCGGCTCGTAAAGACGTATACCAGCAAAAAGATTACTGCGTGGATCCAATTTGAGGAACGATCGCTCTTTCACTGTTATCATAACGAAGTGTACACCTTAAGCTGTTGTAGGACTGCATATTGATTCATAATGGAATGATTAGAAACAAACTGCAATTAATTCAGTTTAATTTATGAGTAAACACGTGATTGTTAACAACAATTATTGATTTATTCAGTACAGTACTAGCTGTACTGAACAACTCAATATTTGTTGCTTCTGCGACTTCACCTTCTTCAAAGCTTTATAGACTCTCCAGTTATAAATGATCTAACTGTAACTCTATCTTTAACTGTTTTGTTTAAGTTATGACTGTAACCGTAACTACAACTGTAACACTTATACCTTGTTACTGTTGACTATGCGAATGAAAATGTATGTAATGACTTTTGTCTGCTGAGGTTATGAAACTGTTTGATTGAATGGATTGCGGGTCGATTTGACCCTTCCATGCTCTAAAGGAGGCGAAACCGCAAAAACGTCAGCCAGTATTGACTGAATAAATCTTATTGTTAACGATTTCGTATCTGCTCATCAAGAAAGCAGTGAATTACTCGATCAGTGCCGAGGTTGATGGAAAGTCGGTCATGGAAATCGCATTCAAATCCTTTTTAATACAATTCTATTGTCAATTCCAGTGCTTCACATTAGTTCAAGGCTGAGAACATGATGAAAGTATGATAGCAGGTTTGCTGTTATGTGAAAAAAACACTCACCTCCTTTCACTACCTTTGACTTCTTTGAGAAGGATGGTCCAATGGAAATCATTTCAAACAAGCACAGTAGATCTGAGATATGAATAACTACTGAACTGTCTTGTCTTAAAGATGTTTGTACAATTTATGGTAATGCCTTCACCATCATTTTCCTCCTTCATGACCGTCAGACCGTAAGCGTAACACCACAGGACATTCGCATGGTACACAGCCATCGGATTCGAATGGATTGTATTTCCCAGAGTCTTCATTTCCTGGGAATACAACATTTCTCTTGGTTTTCATATGTAGCTTTTTCCTCATTCATCTTTTTATTTGCACGTATGGACTTGAGCATTGCTGGTTCTCTAGGCTGCTGGGAGAATTTCGGTCTTCTTTATGAACTTCGTTGAATGCTAATGAAGTAGATTTTCCATCGAATCCTGGGACAGGAATGCTAAGGCGTTCCGTGGTTCTCACCACAAGCAGTAACCATCTATTTTGGATCGGAGGAAGCTAACCAGACAGGTTGGAAGTCAATATTCTGAAGTGGGCTGGCTGGGAGGAGTTCGTTGGCGCTATGAATCGTTCAACCAGGGTCATACGCGTACTGTTGAACGGCGTCTCTACTGCTTCACTACCAGCTCCTCTAATATTTTTAGCAAGAATAAAATTCGGAAAAGTACTTGTGAATAGTATTCTATAAGGACACCTTAAGGCCGTCTTTATGTACTTGAAAATCGAATTCAAACTGAAGCAACTCCGATCCCTGTTTTCCGCCTAAGTCATCAAATGAGCGTCCATCTTGATAATAGTTTTCGTAGGCTAAAACATAATTCATCTCCATATCAGAGCCAGTGACGGTCGTCTAGATGAAGCCTAACCATTTTCTTCATGGACAAGAACCTTTCTGCCATTCGTAAGACGAATTTCAAACGGTGATTGTGAACCACTCTGAAAATTTGTTCCATTTCATGCAAATCCCTCCGATTTTCTTTCTGCAGTTCACCAACCTCACCCTTCTTCGTAAAGTCGATTATTTCTAGCCCATCGACCGCTGGCACATCCATACTCGATACAACTGAGCCCAGCTTCAATACGTAGAAATGATACTACCCCATATCACAGATTATCAACAGACGTTTTGAACGAAATATCATTACATTTTTAGTACGAAAACCAATTACATCAATGTAAAACCACTCTGTTTGCCACTAATTTCTGAGTCTAACCACTGACTGGTCAAAAAGTGGAAAGCATCGTTCATATCGGATGAGTCGTATTATTAACGGAATAGAAGCGATAGAAAACGAAAGAACGAAAACAATGGTTTATAACGCAGCGTTAAACGAAAGGGGCGGTTATATCAGCGGTACTGATGCCGTTCATCACGGGCATGCTTCCCGTTCCGTGCTCACCAATGCTCCCATTCCTACGGGTTGGGAAATTGGTACCAGGCTCATCTGGTTTCGGCCTATTCTCTGCACTCTCTCTGACTTGGCCCGGCAAATAGCCACCTCCAATGGCTACGAAATAGTAACCCCACGAGATAAGTTTACAAGGAGAACGACGCGCCCACGCGAAACGCTTGGCCAAAACAAAATCCCGTTTATGTTGCCTTTTATAAGCGATGAAGTAAGCGCAGCTATAAAACGATGCTTAAGAAGGGCAGATCTAGAGGAATCGGTAGCGATAGTTGAAATACCACCGACTACTCTACGTCGCCAATTAGTTCGCAACCGCCTGTATGACCGTCTGTGTGAAACAACAAATTGCGTAATTTGCCCTTACGGCAGGGACGGTGATTGCATGAGTTCAGGTACGATATACCTGATCTCGTGTAACAATTGCGGAGATGAATATATTGGCGAAACGGGCAGACCTTTGTGTATCCGTATAAAAGAACACCTTGATGGCAAACGAAAACTAAGACGAAACACCCCACTAGGCACGCATAGGATACAAAAGCATAGCGAAGACGATTTTGAAGTAAAAGTCAATATCCTTGCACAGGAGTCCAAAACACCAGCGCGAAAACTCCTTGAGGCTTTTTGGATCAATGCCAAAAGCCCTACAATGAATAGCAGGGATGAATGCCCGGAGATCATACGCGACCTGATCTCGTACGTTCGCATCGATTTTTGATGTGGGATGGTGCAGTCGTCAACCACATGCGACTATAATCAGCTGTTCTAAACTTCCTCATTGGAAGTCACGAAAAAGCGGTGGGTTTTTCGAGAAGTTGTTGATTATGTAATTACCGGAGAGTTCTTCGTCTTTGTGTAAGTGTTATTGAAGCGTTTGGCCTAGTAGATTGTATATCAGTGTACCCTTCCAGGCTCTGAAGAAGGCGATACTGCCGAAACGTCAGCTAGCGTTGTATTGTATTGTGTTTTCTTTATGGAAGTAAATGTATGCTGTTTAAAAACCTCGCGATTGCTGAGCAAGAAAACGACACATTCATATTCCAATGCCGAGGTTAAGAGAAAGTCGATCTTGGGAACTATTCTCTGCATTCGATGTGAGAACGCTCTAGCACGGCTATCCTACGACTCCGCTGCCAAGTTGACGAGCATTCAAAGGCATCCATAAAGAAGACGAAAATCTTCAAGCAGCAACCGAACCAACACACAAAAAGAAGTTCGAAGACCTCCGTGAATGATGGATGTAAGGAAACAATTTAAACGAGAAACACGGCGGAATCCGCACAACAAATGTGAAGGTCGTGTAGAACAAAGAAAACCAAACGTACATTATTACTCCAATACTGGTACTAGTTTACTCCTAGCTAGGCTTCCTGATGGAAACGCCGGGCTCCTTCTCAGCTTGGAATGTCCTGCCAAGAGGATCCCTTCGCTGTATATCGCAGCCCGACAGCCAGGAACACCTCCTAGCTACGATGAGGCGGTAAACCGTTGGTGGAAGCACTGCAGCTACAGTCCTGCTTTTCCATGCCGTCCTCCTGTACCCTACCTGATGAATACAGGTGGAGTTGAAAGCTTTCTGGGTGACTTCCACTTTGCTAACAGAGCAATGAATGATCGCTATGTACAGGTTGTACAAGACTAGACAACTAAATTTTAGTGACTCATTTCGTGATGAGCATCTTGCGTTACATTAGGAACGGTCGTACTTTCATATCGATGACAACTCATTTCTTTGAGGAAAGTGGTAGTAGTGGGCGAAAAACACGAAAATAACGTATACGTTATTTCATCGACAGTTTCATGACATCGAACGCGAAAAGAGGCGTAAATAAACACATAAGGGATTTGCCTTGCATTCGACATTATTAACCACAGTCAAAGGTGACCGAATGCATATCTGGCCTAAACTGTGACTAGCGGTAGCCTAGCAATATATCAACCCAATGCTGCTATCCTCTCAGACAAATCCGGCACCAATTTGCCGAGCCCGGAGTAATGGAAGGCTTGCTGACTTATCGATGTGGTATCGAACCAGCGGCCACGTGTGTATTGCAGCGCAAATCTTAGCAGTCAGGCACATGCGCCCAATCATGCCATTACAATTGCAAATATGCTAGAAAATTTGCCGAACGGTTTATCATTAGATGCTGCCGTTAAAGGAATTATTGCTGTTTAAGCTTTTTGAACAAGGACCGTAAAGAGGGCACATATTTGGCAAAGCGTGCAAGATTTAGCCAAACTATAGATTCTAAAATAAATGCTCCTTGGCACAACGTTCAGAATGTGAGTTTTCTAAACGTAAACTGAATGTGAGCGCTGTTATTAATGCACACTCTGTAAGCACCAAGCCACTATGAAGAAGTTCCTTCAGTCGCTTTCCATCTTATAGTGTCGAAAAGATTTCCTTAAGAAAACCGTAACTTTTCCCCAACATCTATGTAGAGAAATGACCTCTCATGAGAGAAATAAGTGAGGTGGCAATTTGGCTGGTGTGACCCTTATACGGCTGACTTTCTCCCCGATGAATTCTTTTGACGCACAGAACTCTTTCCCCATATTCCTTGTAACTAGTCGATGGTTTAACCAGCACAGATATTGTTGCAGCCATCGTTAACCTTTTCCCGAACGAGATCATTGACTGATAATTCCAGTTCTAATGCTTAACTGTTCATCCTAATCGCTGTGATACATCAAGGTTATCGTATGGAGAGAGCGAGTACAGAAACTTGAGGTAGACTCAGCACAAGCCATTAAGCAATTCCAAATTCTGACAGCACTTTAGCCGTGTCCCCACAGTTACCCACAGCCTAACCCTAGAGCGATAGAGCAAACCTTCTTCCATTATTGCGTCATGCTCCTAATTCCTCAAGTACTTCAGTTTTCAAAAAATTACCATCCATTATCTAAAGACAAGCTCGTGTGGTGCGATGGCCGGAGGCCCCTGTAATACACATGGGACCGATCTCCACGTCCTAGACTCAGGCTCAAAGGCCTTCCATCCTTTTCCGGGGTCAGCAAATTGGTAGTAGACATGTCCGTGAGGATAGCAGCACTAGCTCGATAGATGCCGAGAGCATTATGCTCTTATGTAAAAACGAGCAAACGAGCAAGTCTGTAATCACTATGATATCGAGCGTCGTTGCACTCTTCAACCATGCTAGGTTGAGGGTGTGGCAGAGCAAACCACTGAACATGAAATATATTGGCAGAAACTCATTTCGTCCAGTTTGCCCCTGCCCGTCCTCACATTGTAGACATCTCTCATGCATCTCGGGTGTTATGTCTTAAACATCGTAGAGACGATTGATTGCACATTTCGCTTGCGGTGAGCTAACAGCGTGTCAGTACAGTACTTTGGCACGCACTGGCTCATCTTACTGCATTTTAATGTACAGTAACTTTTTCTTCGTTTTATCATATACCGTGACAGATGATCCAGTGTTTCAAACTGTCATGCACAGCTAGAAGACCGTCTCTTGACAATTGCAACCATGATACGATATTTAGAATTTACATTCAGTACATTCAGAAGCCTTTACATGAACAAGCATATGCCAGGAATCGCTGTCGCCATCTCAAAAACTTAGTTGGATGGTTGCAAACCTTCGTCCAATCCATAACGACCAGGGCGATTTCCTATGATAGGCAACTTAGTGCGCGAACTATATTAAACAACTAGCAGAATACCAGTCAAATGGAAAGCATGGTGGATTCTCCACGAATCTTCATGAACTCGTGCTGTCCAGTTGTCAAACCATTCTAGCAATCGATAGTGACTTTGAATCCTCCCTTGCTTCCATACAAGTTAATAATGTTAAGATGAGAACAATTACGCTTTCAACGTTTAAACAAAGTAATATACAAAACGAAATACTGAAGATAATCAACAGACGTGTGCTACTTCTGCACTGAGATACCGTACTAAGCATCCTTTCCAAGGACACGGTATGGAATACGTTTGGTTAAGTGAGTCTAGTCGATCAGCGCATAATGTTCATCATCTGTGGTGTTATATATATGACCTTCATTGACCAGAAACTGTAGATCTTTTCGCAGAGATTCCATATTTATTGCTCCAATGGCCTGAATGATTGGATTATTGAACAATATTCTAATATTCATTAAATCGATAACGACCAACCTTTTTAATCTCGCTTTCCGACAAACCAATTGCCTCATAGTTATCTTTTTCACGTTGAAGAAGGTCCATAATCTGAAAACCAATGAATCACTACTATCGCGATGATGACTTCTTCCAGTATATTACCTTGCCCCTCTGGCCTACTAAGTTGTGTCCACGGCTCAGTGATGCCTGCCCAGAGACAGATGAATTAAAAATTCGCGATGGTTGGGTGCCAAACACGTTTAACGACTGAAACCGCCCATATAAAAACTTCCTGATACTTTTAGATAAGAAAAAGCCTTGAACCTCTTTTTCGCCAGCGCTAGGATTTGCATCTGAAGGAGCACCCGCGGCACAACCAACAAGACTTTGACCCATACCAGAACGTAAAATAGAGGGAATATTCTGAAACATACCCCTTGAAATCTGACGTATTTAAACAGAGACCTCTATGAATACCAAACCTTCTGGAAATAGACTTTTGCGACCTTTGCCTCAAGTCTGAATGCGCGATACTCCTTCTCGTCAATTACCTCTCTAATATTGAACGACATGATTCCTAATAAAGTTATATAAAAGTATAGAAAGCAGAGCAAGCATGAATATAGCAACGGAACGATTTCAGTGATAAACAGCAACAAATCCGTAATGTTCAAATTACCGTGCCTATCAGAAAGCGACCGCAGCTTCCCAACAACCATAACCTTAGTGCCCTCAACAAAGACTGTTGAGCCAAAGTCCATGTCCGAAACCTGACAAACACAGCAACTCCAGCAAGGAAAATGCCACACGAACGATTGAACTTTAATTATCAGAACCTACCCCATTATAAGTGAGCACCTCAAAGTCTTTACTCATATCTTCCGGATCACCCAAGACGTGATTAGAAGTGTTTTCCTGTTCCGCGGCTGACTTGACAATGCCCATCGTTAATACCTATGCTAGGTACAGCTATACATAAGAATTGAGGACATTCCAGCCACAACAATAAGAGTATCAATTTGTTTCATTGATAAGCTTATAAGAAGTTGTTTCCAATATTTATTTGACTAACGTTTCGACGCCTTGGTCTTCCTGGGAGGCGATGGTCCGTGTCGATGTCCACAGCTATTCGCCTTCTCGATGTGATGTCTTCGTCGCCTATCGACATTGATCTTCTTTAGTAAAACATCTATCGAATAAGGCATACTCACCCGGATATGTTCTTATATACAGGATTGTCCTTTCTGATAGTCGTGATTGTCTGGTGATAACTCGTTTTTTCCGGACAATCAATCGTTCAGAAGTTGGTATCATTACTAGCTAGCACAAGGCGTAACAATGTCATCATAATTGCATTATAAGAGCATCTCCGGGTGAGAATGCCTCATTCGAGAGATGTTACACTAAAGAAAATTCGGCTCGAGATGAGACCAAGATACCACCACATCGAGAAGATGACCGACCGTGGACATTGACTCGAATCATCGGCTCTGAGGGAGGCGAAGACATCGAAACGTTAGCCAAATAAAGATTATATATCAACTTCGTATAAGCTTATCAACAAATAAGGTAAACTGATCACTTATATCGAGGCTAAATAAGTCGGTTTACAATAAGAGCAGGCTTCGACATAACCCCAAATTCGATCTAATGAGAGCATTTAGTATTCCAACGTAACCTACCGTACTGAACGGGAAATCTCCAAGTTCGTATTTCTCCTCAACATTAGCAGAATCGTGTAAATCGCTAACAGTGACCGGAACTGGTAGTCTTTCGGCTACTCTCAGTGATTGGGCTTCCTTAGGTGCTGTAGTAGTAAATGACACATCGCCAGCCCATCCGCCGGCATCGGCCACTGAGAAACTCTCATTCCAAGCCATTCCTAGCGAACGAATGATTGAATTAACGGCATGAATTGCGATTAGACACAACGACAGAGCTTGAACACAATTACTAACAAGTCCGAACACCAATAGTAATGTGAGAACAACCAGCAATCTCTAACTCTGACAGTTTTACTGAGGTCTTATACTAAAAGGATAAAAAGGATAAAGCTTTCGGTATTGATCAATCCCTGGAGGCACGTACCAAGCACTCGACTTCATTAAGCATCGTTGGAGGTGATCGAATGCATATCTGGCACTTACATTGACTCATGGCGACCTACCGATGTATCGAGCTAGTGCTGCTGTACTCCCAGACAAATCTGGTACCAACTTGTCGACTCCAGAGGTATGGAAAGCTTGGTGGGACAGCGGCGCGGGGACTAATCCCATGTGTACTGCAGGAAGTCTCCGACCACTGCGCCACACGCGGTGCTATAGTAGTACACTTTACTCGTCTCTAGTTATGCACTATCTTTTTTCAGAAAGAGAAAGAAGAACAAGAATACATAAACAACAGCAATCCACCGAAATTGTGGAAATCCCGCGCTCTTCTGACCTAGCGGAAAACTCGTCCGCTCTCTGCTAACCCTTTTTGGAGCAGGTTATTATTCCCATAGCGGAAAACTATCCTAGCAGTACTGGTTTCCGTTCCCTGTATTGCTTTCTTTGATTGTTCGATGTCATTCGTTTCAAATAAGACGTCATTGAAAACGAAGAACTAGCGTGGTGTGGTGGTGGTGAGCATGTTAGCTTACGGAAAGAGTAACAGCATGTTCGTTCCCCACCGTAGACAATATCGGTCCAGAGTTTTGTAAATATCTCAGCGTCATTATGGTTATAAGATGTGTTTTTCAGGCACTTAATGACATTGCTCTCGAACCAGCTTCAATCACTTCGTACAGCAACTACTCGGCATCAAACAGTCGAGAGGCGACATGTTTCGTTGCTGTTTGAGAAGAAGGAGGCTCAGCAGCTAGACCGAGAATCTGCTTACAAGATTGGTACGTTTTCTCTTAGGACGGCCTTGAGCATCATTCTTTCGATTAGTGTGCTCAGTTTTTCTGAGCAATGAGATTAAGGTTGTGCTGGACTTCAAAAATTGAAACAGTTGGATTCCATATTCGACGAGGAGAACGACCTCTTCGATGAGTCTCGGATTCATTTTCAACGTTCTATGATAACTAAGGAAGAGAACTCTGTGCTCAATGAGAAGATTGAGAGGTTTCTGTTCCAACTTTCACCGTACATGCAGCATTTTGCCTGTCATCAAGTCCTGGAATGGCTGGTCTATAGATATCAGGTGAAAAGTTGCAACACCCATTCCACAGTAGTTTGCTGTTCGATATGGGCTGTATTCCAGATTTACGCGTATAACGCAGAGGCTATGATCGTTACGTTTCTTCCTTTCCATGAGACCAACATCTTTGGTCATATGTTATCCATAATTGACTACAACTTCAGTACCTCTAAGGATTGGGGTTTCTTAGAAAGCTTTCGTAAGAAGGAATATCCTGTGCCTTTCAGTGCGGTAAGTGATCTGGCTTTCTTAGACTATAAAGGGTTCAATTATCCTTACAGATTTTAAAAAATGCAATGTCAAGCACTCATTCTTTAATCACCAGAATTTCGGACCATCTCAATAAGGGAATTCAGGTAAAAAATCGATACTGGGTTGTAAATGGTTTTTTTGTGAGTAACTGCTTGTTTCTCTATAGTTCGCTGGGGAAGAGTTCCTTGAGAAGAAGTGTTACATGCTGTTTACGTTCTATGCGAAACTTCTAATTGCTGTTCTGGATGATTCGACAAAAATCAATGACGTCTTGCTGGCTAAGATAATCCCCCTTATTGCACTTGGGTTAAAGTAAGTCTATTTTACAGTTTTGGCCTATTAAAATTATTTCTGATTAGTTGTGAACATAATTACTTGGATGGTCCGTTCTCACTGGTTATGCGGACCCCAGCATAATTTCCACTTTTTCGAAGTTTTGCTGGTTTAGCTATTGTGGTTCCCTGGAGTTCCGAGGTCATTCTAGCCAAAGTCTGCCCAGATCATCATCACCACAGGCTGTCGTCGCCCTTGTGGATCAGAAGGATATTTGCCAGCGTGAGACTAGTTTCATATTAGGACGGTAGTGGATCCTGGTATTGGTTTAATCTTAGCTGGGCTTCCTGATGGAAACACCGGACTCCTCAGTTTGGAAGACCCTGCAAGAGAGAGCGGACTAATCCCGCCGCTGTATATTGCAGCCCGACGCCCAGGAACACCTTCCAACCATAATGAGGCGGTAGTTATTTGGGAGGAGTTTTTGAGCACATCTCAGCTTAAATGGTTTTTTTCTTTACGAAAGTACTTTTCTTTTAAGTTAATTATTACACTTACCTAGAAGCTCGCTTCCATCATTCCGGCAAGTGTCTTTAATGGTGGTTTGCAAGATGGCAGTCTCTACCAAGCTGACGCCAGATGTATCAGCGTCACTTGCAAAAATTCTTATAATGGTTCGTGTTACGAGGGCCGGATGTATGCTCAGCCTTTCAGTCGAAAGACTTTGTTTTAGGTAATGTTTCTGACCTGAAAGCTTTCAGAAGTTTCGCAAAGGATCGCTAGAAACCACATTGTCAACGCTTTGCGTTATATGTCAGCAGCAAACATTGAGCTCATTCTCAACCAAGTAAGTGAATCTCATGAATGCGTAACGTTTGAAATGGATCATACGTGTGACTGCTTCTTTCTTCAGAGCGGTGTTAAAGACATTACATACCACAAATGAGTTAACTGTATGGTCTACTTTGAAGGGCTTGTATTCAAAAACAGACTTAACCCCTGTGCTTAACCCTCTATGGACGACATTGTTCTCAATAGCAAATCAGGGTCGGCTTATATAAGTTGTATTCTGTTTTGCAATGACTTCTGTTAATCTTAATCTAATCACTGTTTCTAGAAGCCTATATGGCAGATCACAAGGAATGCTTACATGTTTTACAAGAAACTTCCGATCCACAGCTACTTCTTGGATCTCAAGCAGCTATATTTTTCTCTAAACTGTTCGAATATCCTGAATTAGAGGTTCTGTATTCCAAGAAAGAGTTCTGTAAACATGTGGGCAGCTTAGCAGCTAGGTTGTTTTTTTTTTATTTCTGCTCGTTGGAAACGACTTAGATGACCATGGTTTTTCCGGTTCTCTGACCAATGGATGGAAACTTGCTCGGAATGGGCTTCACGTGACGAAAGTGTTCTTAATGTCGTTGTGAAAAATTATCAACTAGAACGACTTATGGTGATTTATACCTTTCGTCTTGTATTTTAACAAACGTTTGGAGATCTCCTTTTAAGGTGGTATCACACGTTGATGAGAGAAAGAAACGAACACGTCGGCGCTCTGACTCCGTCTGCAGAAGGGCCTCTACTTCTCCACCGGCCGAGCGTCCTGCTAAAGTAGGGAAATCGTAAATGTTTTTTCATCAGATTCTATTTGTTTAATTTTAGTATTATGGTGATCTCTTGTTTATCTTTTACTGTTGTCTGTGTGAATTTGGATGGATTTCACGCTGTTTTAGCGAATATCAATATGTAGTCTCTGGTTGTGCTCGTGTGGGAACGGGATGTGTTCACAGGTGGCTTGTTGAACTAGTCTGGGCTGCACATGGGTTGTCTTTACTCTAGTCGACCTGGGACAGCTATACATACTTTGTGTAAATGTTCATAGATAAGATTACATATTATTTTATACAACTTATAGGGAATGTTTAGGTCGATTCGCTATGGGGTAGAGAGATAATCGCCCTAATTCATTTGTGTCTCAAGTGAAGTTGCTTTGACCCACATCTCAGTTCTCTATCAACATTTGGGAACAGATCACTTTCTTAACCTTTCATTTGCTACCTACTATAATTTTTCGCGGCAAGATATGATGTGAAATACAGCTCTTCAACGGTGCGAGATATTCGCAAAACTTCGACTCCAGGGCAGAACGAACCTTTCCGAGAGTCCGCGTATTACACACTGCACCACTGAGGCTAGGTAGAAAATTAGCTGAGAGAAACGCAAGGACTCAGCGATGCAGTGTGTGATGCGCCGACCTCCGGAAAGGGTAACCATGCTCGATCATGCTCAGGGTCCAAGTTTTGCGAATATATCAGCATTGTTATGGTTGCGTTTCACAGACTTCTTTGTATTACAACTGACTTAGTCGAGATCTCCCACATTCATATGACTCTGTTCACTTTGTGATTGGAAACAACGTTGGCTGCTAAGCTTTTTGGCACGAATCTAAAGACAACGTCGTTTGATTAACTAATATGTCTTCTTCAGAAAAAGAGCGCTCTTGAACGCGCAGAAGAATTGGCATCAAGTTCAGAGTTCTCTCGGCGACAAGAATTTGTCGGTGATCCTATTAAAAACGCTCGTAAATGGATTAAAATGGAAATGTGGGATAACGTAAGTTCTGCAAGCAATTTTAGTTCTACTTGGAGCTACTTCAATGTTAAGGTAGCTTGGGCTTTCGATGTAATGACCACACGCAGTTCGTATTTTGCTCAGAAACTTGAAGATGAGGTGGAAACTTTTGTTGTGGAAGTCATTCAGATGACAATTGGAAGCAAAAAATGTCCTGTGATTTCCCAAGCTCGTTTAGCTTTTGCCGAAGTGGGTTTAATTCTTGATAAAAATACATATTGTTTGTTTTCTTTATGTACATATTTGTTACAGGTTAATTTTCGGCCCGACTTCATCGTTGCACTTTTGTCGAATCATGAAGGGTGCGAATCATTGCCGAAAAAGCCCAGATCCGTCAACGTTCCTGATGTGGTTTCCAAGGTACTTTTAGACAACAAGCTGTGCATACTTGCATCGTTTCATTGAATGGATGATTGTGTTTCTCCTGCTTAACCTTGTTATTTTGTTGCACGTGTGGCGCAATGCTAGGAGGCGTCCTGCAGTACACATGGGGTCGATTCCCGCTCCCAAGGCTCACCAAGCCTTCCATCCCACCGAGGTCGGCGAATTGGTACCAGATTTGTCTGCGAGGATAACAGCATTGGCTCGATACATCGGTAGGCTATAGCGAGTCATCATTGAGGTCAGATATGCATTCAGTCAATTCCAACGATGTTTAGTGAAGTCGAATGCATGGCGCATCCCTCAGTGATTGGTCAACACAAAGAGCTTTATCGTTTTTTGTATTGATAGGAACAGATCTTTGCATTTTGTTTTCAGACGTTCGTTAATGAAACTAGCGAGGAATTTGAAAGGCGGCTGTTTTTTGTGCTTGAGATGCTTAACAACCGTGTAACCCCTATCGTGGACGCTCGGATTTTTCGCATTCTCTTTGGAATTTTGAAAGAGTATGCTTTTGTGAGAGCTCTTCTTTGCTCAGCAATATAATTTCTAAGTTCTCTAAGGTCCTGCGCTGGGAAGGATACCTTAGCAATGCAAACGGTGGTGTTGCTTCTGAAGATGATCAAGTCACCAGGTTTGTGTTCTTCAACATTGTATACTCCAATGTGTTATGGCTTGAATTTCGATGATTGTTATATTTAGGTAAATATGCGGTTACTTGTGCTGATCTGAACATGGACGTTGTTCTCGAGATGATGCGCACTACTCACAACCATCATATACTGCGAGAATCACTTCGTTTGCTCACTGCTGCTGTGAAATTATCACCTGTATGGTTGATTTTTTATTGTTGCTAAGTCGTTCTGCATGCACGCAATCTCCTTTATACCATATGTGGAATACTTACACCACTTTGATGCCTGGATACTTCAACGGCCGTTTTTGAATGAATGTGCAAGTCTCAGCATAATTTACATTTTTTCGGAGTTTTCCTGGTCTAGCAATGACGGTTCCCTGGAATCCCAAGGTCAGCCCAGCAAAAGTCTGTCCCAGGTCCTCACCACCATAGGCAGTCACTGCCGTTGTAGTTCAGAGCAAAACTTACTATAGTGCGACTAATCTGATACAAGGACGGTGGCGGATTCTGGTATTGGTTTACACTTAGCTGGACCTCTTGATGTAAGCGCCGTACTCCTTATCAGCTTTGGAGACTGCTGGCGGGAGAAATCCTCTCGTTGTACATCGCAAACCGACACCCAGGAATACCCTTCAGCCACGATGAGACGGTAAGTCGGTAGGAGGACTTATACCACTAAACACGTAAACTACTGATAATCGTAAGATGTTCACGGTTTTATGATATTTTTAGGCTAATGTTACATCTCATGTAATGTCTATTTTTACATTCATGGGAAGTGGATTACTGAGGAAAGATAATGAATTAACACTTGGGATAATTGAGGATACAGTTGAGGCTCTATTTGGCGCAATATGTGCGCAAGATGGAAGGGTAAGAAGTCGTTTATTATTTGTTATGACCGTGATTTACCTATAGCAGCTTTTGCAGACATTGCCATCTGAAATGCAGCTTCGGCTTGTTGATGTTTCTCGAGTTTTCGCTGCATCTGTTTGCGATATTCCGGCGCATCGTCGTACACGCATGGCAAATGCTATAACGCGAGCTGTTAAGCATATCAATGTGTGGATAGTCTCTGGAGTTATTTTAGAACAGTCAGTTTTAGTGTTACATCCGAAACCTAACGGGAAATGAAAAGAAAAAGAGCACGTGTAACGCAGTTGTCGAAGACGCCCTGCAGTAAACATAGAATCCATCCCCACGCCATGGGCTCACCAAGCCTTCCATCTCTCTGGGGGTAGCAAATTGGTAACAGACTTGTATGGGAGGATAGCAGCGCTGCTCAGTACATCGGTCGGCCACCGCGAATCATTATGAAGGCCGGATATGCATTCAGCCACCTCTAGCGATGCTTAATGAAGTTGAATGCATCGCGCTCTCCTTAGGGATTGGTCAACGCAGAGAACATTATTATTATTATTATCCGGAACATTCTTTACTGTTTTGGTAATCACTATTTGCTTCATTCGGCACATTGATGTTAACCTAGTCTAATTTGTCTAATTGAATTTAGCTTTTGCGCAAGATGGCAACGCGCAGCAGTGGACGCAAGTAAACGTTCTGCTGATCAAGACGCTTTCGAAGACCTTGCTTTAGAACTCTGCGTTGGACTCGATCCCGTTCACCAAGTAGGTAACCTGGGATTCATTTTGTGATTTCGTTGATTTAGATGGTATTTACTCCAGTTTTGCGTTGTGGCTGATATTGTGGACTTCATTATTAGGCTACGAGGCGACAGTAGTCCTCTGGAATCACAAGGAAGACCTCTCGATCAGGCTGTTTTTGACAGGTTAATATTCCCTATTGTGAACACTTTTGTGGACTACAGAATATCTTTTAGGTCCAAGTATTCGTTACCAAAGCTTAGACATTTTCGTTTCGTTATGATTGGACTCGTAGTGAAAATACTCAGTAATCGTGTGTTGTATGAAAAGGTAGTTCTCAGTTTTCATGTTTGTTTAGATATTTACAGAGTTAACCTTTTTATTTGCTGCCTACTACAATTTTTCACGGCGGGGTATGATGTGAGATACAAGTACAATGATGCTGAAATATTCGCAAAACTTGGACCCCAGGCCAGATCTAAGAAAGGCAAAGCAAAGCCAGCGGTGGTGCAGTGTGTAACGCGCGAGCCCCGTAAAGGGTAATCATACTTCGATCTGGTCTGGAATCCAAGCTTTGCGAATATTTCGTCATCGTTGTGGTTATATCTTACAAAGTGTTAAATGTTTCTTTTTTCTGAAGCAGAAGACAACTTCACACTGTTATCACTAGACGTTCTTTCATAAACTGAAGCTTTATATGGAATAATTAAGCAGATTTCAAGTCAAAGAAGTTCCTTTGTTAGTAAGAATTTATAAAAATTTCGTTTGAGAAACTTTGTTGGGATGGTTCATGCAAACAAGACTTAGATGGGTTTTGAACTGGTTTACTGCATTCTCATGTCTTGAAATTCAGTACTTGTGCAGTTTGACTGGAAATGTTGAATGTTTCTACTTTTCTTCCAAGGAAACTTTGCCGTGTAACCTTTTAATATCTGAAGTTTTAGATCAATCTGAACAATACTTACCTGTATTTTCTTCCAAGACCTTTATTTTCTTCCACATTAGATGTGAATTTGAATGGGCAGAAGTAAGAGAGTATGGGTCGCGCTTGTTGCCTCCTGAAAGGAAACATGCAATTTTACAGCTTAGTGAGATGGAGGACGATTCTTTGTTCCAACTGTTGCTTCCAATTGGGAAGCGTTTGATGACAACTTCAATAGAGCTTGATGAGTTCGTCACCAATGAACGCGATATAGCGGAGAAAGCCGAAGAGCATCAAACTCTACGCTATTGGGTTGCTTTGTCGGGTAGAGCTGAAAGCGTCTCCGAAAAGGTGAGTTTGCCTTTTTCCATCATTTTTTCTCTACGCTTACGCCAATTCTTACCCGAATTATCACGTGGTAAACAGTTAATACCAATTTTCGGTCGCCTTTTTATCCTGTATTTTTTCAAAATGCATTTTATCAATGCTTCTGCTTTTTGGAATTTTGTCACAGTATCGTTTTGCTATTTACTTTTTTACGTTTAAACTACGTTTTGCAACAGTTACGTCATCTGCTTCCTGGTAGTGTGGCTGCAAGAATCATTATCGATATACTTGAAGACAGCGGGACTGAATGGAGAATGCGCGAGAAGGTGAGACTTTTAATCAGATTATCCGTATTTACGTATTTCACTGGTTTCCATGTCCATCATTCATTCCTTTATCTCGCGAACGTTACTCATTGGTGAGACCCAACTCTTCCTTGGTATTGGGAGGCTAGTTATAACTTGATGCAGCCTTCGAGTTTAATTTATGGACGTTAATATTAAGCTCTTCCCAACGGCTAACCGCCTCATCGTGGATGGAAAGTGTTCCTAAGTATCGGACTGCGATGTACAGCGGGCAGATTCGTCCCTCGGGCAAGGTCTCGCAAGCCGAGAAAGAGTCCGGCGTCTCCATCAGGAAGCCTAGCTAAGAGTAAACCAATACCAGGATCACCCAACGTCCTGGTATCAAAGTTGCAAGGTGGCAAATCTGCCTCTGATCCACATGGACTGCAACTGCCCGTGGTGGTGAAGACCTGGGGTGGGCTTTAGTTATTCTGAGCTCGGAACTCCAGTGAACCGCAATGGTTAAACCACTAGAATTCTGCGGAAATGGAAGTTGTGCTGGGGTGCGCACAACCAGTGAAGATGGTCCATCCAAGTGTCCAAGTAATATTGGGCTAGATGACGAGTAATGGACGATTTAGAAATCCATTTTTGAAATTACATGAAACAACACTTCGTTAATAGAAATAAAAGCCACTAGGTTTTCTACATTTTTGATATTGAATGCTAGTTCATTTGTGCTGCTAACTTAAAATTCTTATGTTCTGAAAGTAATTTCTCGAGAACCCTTCAACAGCGCCTTAGTTATTAATGTCTATTTATTCGTCAAATCGGTGACGAGACACATGAAAAGTGGTAGCCATTGAGTACGGTGGGAGGATAGGAGTTTCGCCACACAATTTATTCAGTCTCTGGAGCGTTCGTTGTGGTACAGTTGTTGTCTCTTACATGTATCGGACAGGAGGCACACTTCGTTGTGCGTTATGAACCAGTGGTGTGTATGGAGTCTTTATCTTCCGCAAAAGCTTAAACGGAGGACGCTCGTAATGATCTGAAGCTTAGGAAGATGTTATTTTCTTGTGAATTAGGGTTCGTTGATGATTAATAGAAGCTTTCAAGAACCAAAAGTGTACAACCACAACGTTGCTGAGATATTTGCAAAACTCTGGACCGCAGGTGTCTATGGTGGGGAACGAACGCGCTATTGTCCTTTCCGGAGAGTAACGCGTTCACCACCACACCATGCGGGTCCTTTGTTTCGCCTGTCTCTCAGCTATTTCTATCGATCTTTTGCCACAGCAATCACCCGTCAGCGGGATTGATCTGGGGCGCCCAAATCGGCATAGAACCCAGTTAAGCTGCTGCTGTAGTTGAAGTCACAATGTTATACCTTTTTATTTTCTGCCTACTATAATTTCGCGGCAGGACAATAGCGCGTTCGTTCTCCACCATAGACACCTGCGGTCCAGAGTTTTGCAAATATCTCAGCAACGTTGTGGTTGTATTTCGCTTAGTACCCTGCCGCGAAATTATTGTAGGCAGAAAATAAAAAGGTGTAACCAAAAGTGTACTTATGGATGGGTTTCTGATCTCAAATAAAAGTCGGGTTATTTCTCAGCGTGGATGGATCGCCTGCAATTGGATGAAGTATCCAGATGAATTTTGTGTTCCAACTACCACATTTTATAATTCGTCGGCTTTTATTCATTGAAGATTTAACTTAAAAATTTAGACTCTTCAACTTGCAAATTCGAAGTTGATTCACGATGGATTTTTCTTCTCTGAAAGTGGAATTAATGAAGAACATCTTGAGAAGATGATTCTTGTTCTCAATAAGTGGATAACAAAAGAACGACTAGATCATGAGAAAGTAACGTTCAACTCACCATACTTATCCTCGTAGTTTTTAGATATCTCAGATGAAATTTTAACAGGTACAGTGTTCAGGTCGTTCTTTGTCAAAACGCTGCGTTTACTCTCAAACTAGTGGCAAGGCGCCTCGATCGTCGTTCGGACTCCTCAGTTTTTGCTGATACCATGACAAAGTGTGCAAACATTGTGAGCAGTGTTAACTTTTTATTTGCCACCTACTTGTCACGGTAGGGTGTTATGTGAAATATAACCACAACGATGCTGAGATATTTGCAAAGCTCCGGACCGCAGGTGTCTGCGGCGGACATTATGATTTCGACTACAGACCCAACTTAACTGTGTTCAATGCCGATTTGTGCTCTTCCTACCAATCCCGTTGACATGTGATTCCTGATTGCACTGGTGGATAGAAAACTACTTAGCTGAGAGATAGACGACATGAAGGATCCACATGGCCTAGTGGTGAACGCGTTTTTTCTCGGAAAAGGGTAATAGCGAGTTTGTTCCCCACCGCAGACTCCTGCGGTCCGGAGTTCTGCAAATATCTGAGCATCATTCTGGTTGTGAGCAATGATTGTTTCGTCTTCCGTAATTGTACTTATTGCTTTATTCGGTCTGACTTTTAGGCTGCCGACTACCAAACACTCGACGAATTTATGGTAGGAAACATTCTACTGCTTGCTGGCGAGTTAGTAAGGTGAGCTGATGCTCATTTAATTTGTGCCTATATACTTGCAACTCATGGCTTGCCGATTTGCCGTTAATGTCACCGTTTTAACCTTTAGGTCTCATAATATGAAAGCCACAATGATGTCAGCAATTCCATTGTTAAAGACATGCTTGAGCATAGTTGCAGAGTTCAACTTAAATCGAAAGGTTAGAAGATTTATATGGATTATTTCGTCATCGGCGTTTTCGCTCGTGGTCTTCTCGCCTCTGGGATTTTCAGCATTTCAATTTTAACATGGATTTTGGATTTGACATGTTTTGCACATTCACGACCGTACTGGTTTTTGTCGTTTCTCGCTGAGTGAATTACTTGTGAGCGATTGGAAGCTTAATGAATTTATCGGCTTTGCTGTGTTGGTTTGGGGGTATTCGAAGGTGTTCTTTTAACTACAGTCTTTTAAATTATTTAGCACCACGAATGCGCAGCGGACTATGCGCATCGTATATTATTCATTACCTTTATCCCGTCCCCCAGATTTTGTCGCTTTTTTTGGATTCAGTCGGCCCTACCCGCCATAGGCGCTATGCTACGCGTTGTCAGAGTAAAGCTATATTGTGCGTTTTTTGTTTGCAAACAACTATCTTTTCGGTAAGAATTTCTTTTGCAGAGACTGTTTTATGACGGAACCCTTTCCCGGTTGAAAGGGCACTGAAATATCTCTTACCACAAAGTTTGGTGCTTGTCAGGGTATTACCAAGATATTTCGACACAATCACACAGTGCAATTCATCAGCTTGCTTCCACGAAGTGTCTTTTTGGACATATCACAAGCTGTTAAATCTTTTCTAGTTGACTTTGTTCAGTTCTCTAAATGTTTTTCTCTTTCACAATGAGCTCTGTCTTTGACCTTCCATATGTAGTCGTCACAATAAATTATGGCGACCAAGATTCACTTACGAAACCAACAACGAAGGCTGACACCACCGTAGTTGGATGATGGGCGAGTTCTGTTGACAACACACAACAGATAATTCCAAAAGATACAGGGCATTAGGTAGAAGAGGAGTACTAAGTAAAGTAAAATGTAAAAATAAATGCGCTAAAACTGCACTGAAAGGGCTAAATTGCATAGCGACAAGGGGCGTAGTCATTTTTGGAAGGAACACTTCGGACACTGTATTGATCTCAGTGCGCATTGCACATAACAAGAAATTATGCGTTTCGAATGGGTTGAACTTGCTCTTAATTTACCACTGTGCAAAACCAAGATGTTGATCTGAGACAACGGAACCATCTTTTGAAGGTAGTGAGCAGTGTGCGTTGATTTAAAATTGCATCGAAGGTACCAAAACAAAGAACTATACCTAGCCCAAATTGGCTCACATTAAAGCATACGCATCATCACCCAGGCTAATTAGGTTTCCATAATGCCAGTATTAGTTTCTGTCTCTGTTTCACATTTTTTTCCAATTTTTAGGATGCACAGGAGTCGGTGAATTTATCAGAAGATGCCTCAACCAAGCAACGGCGTGTGCGGCAACAATCTCTCAGTGGAAAGAAGTTAGGATGTTCGACATTGTTGGTGAGTTTGGGTTATTCGGGTTCGTGGAAAAGAAAAACGATCGTGGATAATATCATGCTTTCGCACATTAAAGATCTGTGCCCTGACCTGTATACAGCGAATCATGGATCAGTTCGCTCCATTCGTTTCACAATTCCTTCCCGATATCATCGTTCAGTTCTGCTGTATAAGTGGACGGTATGTATCGATTTGCTTTGTCTATTTTATGATCAATGGGCCAGTAGGCTGAAGTGCTTATTTCCAGATATGATGACCTAAGTGAAGGGCCAAGTACTCTGCCTATTCCAGCTGTCGATAAATCTCAAGTTTTAAATACCACTAGAAGTGTTATTCTCCACAGGTAAGATCCCTTTTATTTTAGGATGAATATCTTCGTATTCTGTCATCCGTCTTCGTTATCCAAATTCAACTGTTCGTTACAGAATCAATCTTATTCGCTCAGCACTTTCTAAGGTTGAACTTCGTGTCTTGCAAAAACATCTCTCGAAAGCGCTTGTTGAACTCTCCTCTGAAGAGGTTCAAACGCCTATTCTTGAAGATCAGTTTACGTTCAGTACACCAAAGTAGCTGTTCTTCAGAAACCTCTGATGAATTTATTCTCACTTCTTGAAAGTCATTTCGACCAGAAGAATCGTGTTATCGTCAGTCAAATTAGGGACACTTTGATGACAGAGGTCTTCCTGAAAGGATTTGAGTATCGTGCCCGTGAGAGGAATGTGGAGGTGTGTAAGAAGTTCATAACTGTTGCGCCGTATTTTTTTCCAAAAATCACGTTTTCAGAAATTTCAATGCGTTATGTTTGTTGAAAACAGTATGTTTAAAGCACTGTTAGCAATGGCTGAGGTTTTGACGGAAAACACTCTTAGATCTGTAATGACTCTCTTCGTAGATTGGGCTGAATTAGGTCTGAAATCGGCAACTACAGATCACCGGTGTCGACTTGTCACTCTTTTCCGCTTTGCGAACAGGTTTGCATTTTGTTCACTTTTGGTATATCTTGCCACGTAGAAGTATAGTTTGTTTAGCTGCTCTATCAAGCAAAGATTAATTTCATCTGATGCCTTTTCGTTAACGTTATTCACAGGATAGCACGGTTGAGAAAAAGGTGAAATGAAGGACTCGTGTGGTGTGGTGGTGAACGCGTTTGCCCCGGAAAGGGTAATAGCGCGTTCGTTTCCCACCACATGCGCCAGCGGTCCGGAGTTTTGCAAATATCTCAGCATCGTCATGACTATATTTCACATAATACTCTCTGCCGGTAAGAAGAATAGGCAGGAAATAAAAAAATGACTACTTTGTTTACAGAATTCGAGTGTTTCGTAGAATATTAATTTCAGCTTCTATAATTCATTCAACTCCTTAGCTTTACCATACTTTGGAAAACTGGTGAACATTGCCAATAAGGTTCTGTATAAGTGCAATGCGACTATTCTAAATGGTTAGTTGAATTGTTCATGTATGTACTTTATTTGAGCGCCACAGCTTGCATCATATCTTATAACCACCTTGACAAACGCTTTTTTTCGGGAACGTTTTTAAGGAGACGGAACTTTTTCTCGATTTTGGTGAGGAGGAGAACTTCTGCACTTGGCGAGAAATCTATGCAAAAACTTCCCTCCTCGTTATTTAGGCGACTTTGCACTTTAACAATTATCGATCGATAATCTGTTTTGTCCGGTTTTCTTTCGAAAGCGTTGTATAAGATATTACATTGGCCTTCTAATGATCTTCTAAGCTTCGTCACGAAAGAAATCTATTGTGCCGTTCACAATCCGACATCTATGCAGACTGACGTACAGATGATTCCCTTTATCTTATAAAACACCATGGACCCTTATCGTGACTGAGAGGTCTTCCTAGGTGTCGAGCTGCGATGTACAACGGGTGGATTCATACCCTCGGCATGGCTCCCCGAACTGAGAAGGCGTCTGACATTTCCATCAGGAAGCCCAGCTAAGAGTAAACCAATACCAGGATCCACCACCGTCCCCGTATCGAATTAGTCTCATGGTGGCAAATCTCCCTCTGATACACAAGGACTGCGACTGCTTGTGGTTGTGAAGACCTGGGGTAGACTTTGACCAGGCCGACCTCGGGATTCCGAGGAACCACAATGGCTAAATCAGCAAACCTCTGAAAAAGTGGGGATTATGTTGCGGCCAGCACAACCAGTGAAGACAGGTCGTCGAAGTATCTGTGTAAGTAATTCAACCCCTGTGCGTCGTATATGAGATATATTGGTGAAATGCGGAATCCCGTTCTAAAATTCCAATTTATATCATGAGAAATTCGTTAATATAATCGAAAATTGTGTTTTTTGCAAGCTATATTTACAATCGGAGTAAGTTACCTAAACCCATAGCATATCTAGTCCATTATAGCAGTATTGTCTACAATCTAGAGGTAACTCAATTGCTCTCCAAAACCTGTTTGTTGTAATAACGTTGAGTCAAATGGGGCAGTTTTTTTAGGTCGTACTGGAACTTCAATAATGCGTCAGTTGTGACAGTTTAACAATGTCTATTTGAAAATACAGTTCAATTGGTCTCTTCAGCTGAATGATTTTTTGTAGTGTTCTTCTTCTGTCTGCATCTGTTGCATTTTTTCATAGTTAATTCCCAGAAATCATCTGTGAAAAACATGAAAAATAATGGATCTGTACATCTAAGAAGAAAGTCTTGATATGTCATGGGTATCGTTTCCTCAAGGAGGTGAAGGTCATACGTGGTAGTCGCAGAGCCCTACCACGCATAAATACTGTGAAACAAAATAATATAGAACAGTAAAGGAATTAAGGATAGAGCGTCCGGTGTTGACCAATGCCTTTTGACGTGCAGTGCATTCGGCTCCATTCGTAGCACGATTGAAGTTATCAAATGCGTATTGGGTTATACAGTGAGTTGTGGGTGTCCATTGGCGTATGAAGTCTTACTTGAATACTTGGATGGTTCCACTTTTTTTCGGAGCTTTGCTGGCTTAGCCACTGTGGTTCTCTGGTGTCACGAGGTCAGCCTTCCCAACGTCTGCTCCAGGTCGTCACCACTATAGGTAGTCGCCGAGCTTGTAAATCGCAAGGAGATTTGCCATCATGCGACGAATTTGATACCAGATGGTGGCGGTTTCTGGTATTGGTTTATTCATAGCTGGGTTTGCTATTAGAAAGCCGGACTCTTCAGATTGGGAGACACCGGTGGGGGATGAATCCCTCGCTGTACATCGCAGCCCGACACCCAGTAACACCTGGCCACGTTGAGGCGATAAACCGTAGGGTTTGGCATATCAAGTAGGTGATTTTATTTTCCCAGTCAAATCTGGTGTAAATTTGTTAACACTGCAGTGATTGCGCATTGGTTACACTAGAACTTTGTATAGAATTAACAACTGAAGAGATATTACCGGAGACCTCTAATGATAGTTCTACACGGTATGCCACTGTGAAGGGGTATATCGCATAATATGAAGAACTGGTAAGGAAGTCGGCTTACAGCATGAAAAAAAACGCCTTATGGAGCACACATAGGTCAGTCCTAAGCTGTAGTGTGGGAACATATTGTCTACATGTGGCTCATAAGATGTGTGAGAATATGGTGGCACTTCCAAGTGGGAATATTTATTGAAGGACGCAAGCGGTCGTGTTGAAAAACCATATTTGGCAGTTTCGGTTAATGCAAAGTATTTAGCATTTATTCAGATCCATCGTTGTTGTTAACTGGTAAGAAGGGTACAATGGATGGCTTAGAAGCAGATCTGCTCGTTACAAACGTTATCGATTTCATTGCTAACTGCGCTCATCACCGAGAGTTCTTTTCGCAGTGAGTACTTTTACAGGTCTATGAAGTTGTCTTTGCTTTGAAATTGTGGTTTTCAGAGAACGAACTGAGATATTGATTGAGTCTCTTGTCAACGAAATATTGAATACAAAACTGAACGGGCATAAGAAGAGATGTGTAAACCATCTGTCCCTTGCTCTTTATTATATTTCTGGCATACATCCGGACAGTTTCCAGACTGTTCTAGATAAGATCTTGCTCATGACAAGAAGTAATAAAGCAAAGGTACGTACATCTTTAAACAGAAGGAAAGATACAACATGTGTTTAAACTGTTGATCTTACACGAGATTGATAACAATGTTTATTTGGCTAATGTTTCGACGTCGTCTTCGTCAGAGCCGATGATCTGAGTCGATGATCCACAGTTGTTGGTCATCTACCAAATCCCAAACCCAAGAAGAAAGAATAATTTATAAATATTTTGTTTAGGTACGGCATCGAGCGTTACTTGTCTTAGGAGCAATGTTTGATAAGTTAGGTGATGGCGTTGCGCCTTATTTACCCATGATCATGCCATTCCTTAGTGAGCTACTTGAAGGTATGCCTACGTAGTTTAGCTTGTAATATTGGTTATTTAAGAAAAAGAAAAATGTTAGTTTCTGCCCTACGTGCTTCTGTTAAGATGAAAATGAAAACGTCGAAGAAGAGTGCGAGCGTGTTGTGAAACTGCTGCAAGGGAAATTTGGGGAGAATATATGTGAGGGTTTCTTGTAGTGAATTACCCGTGTTTTGTTCATTGCTATCACTTTTGTTATTGTTAGCCGCTTTGTTGTTGTTGTTGTTGTTGGTGGTGATGTTTTATCGACATTTTTTTTGTAAGTTACTACATTGCTGATTGTCCATATGATGTAAAGATTTTCAAAAACATGAATTCTGATGAACGAAAACGAGCTTCGACTGTTTGAACAACCGTAACCCGAAGGAGTAATCACTTCAAAACATTTACCTGTCGTCGCTTCCTGGTGCGAAACGTTTCGTTGTTGGATAACTTTTCGTTTACTGCCAACTTTTTCTTTTTTGATGGCAGAATATTACTTTGAATACAACCACAATGATGCTAAGATATTTGCAAAACTCAGACCCCAGGCCAGATTCAAACCTCTGGGGCTCACGTGTTACGCACTGCACCACTGAATCTGGTCTGGGGTCTGAGTTTTCTAAGTATCTTAACGATAACAATAAGAACGTTTATTTGGGGAAAACTTGACTGAGCCTTTTAGTAACGCTGTCATTCAAGGCCTGTAGCATGTCGGAAGTAATCGCCGTATACTCGAAGGAACCGAAGGTCTCTACCTCTTCCAGAAAGAACGTCCATCCATTTATTAAACGGTAGTGTCTAAATTCTTGTTTAGCTGAGAATTTAGCTTTTTGGATTTGCTAGCTTTTCTCACCTGATCACTGCATCTTCCGGTGGAACTAGGTATAGGCGAGCACCGGGAGCGAAACGGAGAACTTGGTGAACACCCATGCTCTCAACCTAAGGCTAGAATTTTATGATTACACCCTTAGTGTGATTAGGTTGGTTGGAGTGTCAGTGTAGTTCCATGATAGTTATGACAGCGACCGTGTTTTGTACTCAAGTTTCCACTACTTTCGACTGTATAGTGTACTCTCAAGAGACACTTGCATAGAAAAATTAATTTTTCAACCATTACCTTCTTTGGTTGTATAATGCTTTTTGTTGTATGGTTCACTGGTGCAACATGACTGGTGTTGTGCCATTCGGCCATCGGAAGTAGCGGATCGTTTAATCGCCACGTCTCTGGATCGATCGGGGTTTCCTCAGTTCGCAATACCCAACGGCACCGGAATCGCAACTCCCCATGGTTCTTGGCTGCTGTAAATCTGAAATTATTATATTTAAACTAGTTGGAAGAACCCCTTGTTTAAATATATTCAGGGGTGGGTGGTATAACAGATTAACGATTTTTGGGACAAAAAGGACCTTCGGTGGTAGTGTTCATTGCGACATGGAAACTCTTGAAAGCATTTCGATAACCAGCTTCCTTAGTGTTGAAGCACTCTCAAAGGAAAAAACGACTTTATTAGTTGGCACTAATAGTTGAGCCTCATAGGCACGCATGTAGCGCCCTGGCTAGAGTTGCCCTGCAGTGCATGTGGGTTCGATCTCGCGCCGCAGTTTTACCAAGCCTTCCATCTCTCCGGGGTCGGCAAATTGGTACCAGACTTCTCTGGGAGAATGGCTGCACAGACTCGATACATCGGTGGGCCACCGCGAGTCATTGCTTGAAGGCCAGATATGCATTCAATCACCCGATGATTAAGGAAGTCGAATGCATGGGGCATCCTTTAGGGATTAATCAACGCCAAGAGCTTTATCCTTCATCCTTCATGTGAGTTTTCTACGTCCACAAATCATCAAAACATTGTTGTCACAGTTTCTTTCTTGATACAATCCACATCAAAAATTGAAGCATTCAAACCGGTGGAATTGCGTGAAATAGAGGTAAATACTGAAATTTCCGGTACAATTTCGTTTTAATCTGACAGTTCACTTAGAGATTCCAAAGTAAATGTCAAAACTAATAATCTCGAACAACGAGAAAACTTGCTTGATAAATTCACTGATGGTAGCGCCTCCATTTATGTTAATGCGCTCGTCCAAGTCCACTGTCGCAACCCAAGCGCTTCGACCTCGGGTTCGATATACACAATCCTAAAGATATCTAATCACTATGTGCACAGTCGACAGTGGAATTTGAGAGAAAGCGATGAAATGAATGGTTCGTGAGCGATAACAGATCTTGATGATAAGGCTAGCAAGTAAGGATCTAAGTTGCATATAGAACAAAATTAACCGAGCTTGTAGTTCTTAACGGAACTATCCAAACAAGCTGATTAAATTGTGATTGTCTGTAATCTTCGTTTTTTGCGATTAAGCCAGGGAACGGCAGGATTTAATATAAGCGTGTTCAAACTACGACCGTCGCCTAGATTGATCATCACCTTGAAAGAAGGTAGCGAATTCTCCATCCGACGACAGATCGCCTGATTTTCTCATTATGACTTTAGATCTGGATAACTTCAGATGTGTAAAGGATCGATGTTTGAGTCCTCTAATTTTGTGTGGAATGAATAAAATTATTATATAAGATGAGATATAGGATAGATAATGTTATGCTGCCAAGACTACTATGCCTCTCCGAAATTGTATTGGATACAACCACTACGACGACAAGACATGAGCCAAACTCGGAACCTTGACTAAGCTTTGAAACCGTTAGTACGCTTCTCCAGGGCTCATCTCTTATCCACTGCATCAACCGAGGCCCTTGCTTCGCCTTTCAGCCAGTTTTATTCACAGTCTATAAGTCGCCGCGGGTTTGAAGCGCACCTAAGGATGCTAGCTTTCTTCACATTTCAAGATCATTGTGGGTTTAGCTTGCCATCAATAACCAGCTGTAAATAAAAGGCAAGACGCTATATTGAATAGTTCTTATACACGCAACACACATATGCACGCATGAATCACTAAATCTAGGTTGAGGTTTATGCTCATGTGTGATAGCAGCAAAAGTAAAAGCATGGAGTTCAGCAATACCACCAGCAAATCACGCGACTCATGGCAAATATAAGTTTATCCTTCGCATCCTTGTTAAGCAGACGTGAGGTGTTATTTTATTCTTTATTCACAAACAGGCTGACGTTTCGGCGCATTTCGCCTTCCTCAGAGAAAGGTCAAGTTGACAGCAATCTATTCGGCCAAACACCTCCATAACCAAACTGGGGAAATGCTAAACCAAAATTTCAATCACATTGAACCTAGAGTAGTTTCTTTGCACACTCACCGCTTTCTATAAGTCTTCCACTGAGCATGCCACATCGAGACCAAACGCACTGAGTCCACATGGAAGCGTAATGTGTCCATCCCATCAGAATAACAGGCTTATATACTGCCCAATATCACGCGTGATAATGAGGCATTCTTCCCTGCGGTTCATTTTCGGATTTCTGGAATTAATCCAGAACGCCTCGAGAGTTTTGCGCACTTGTGTTCTCCATTCCTGTGCGAGGATCGGGACGCGTACTTCAAAGTCCTCCTCGTTATGTCTCTGGGTCCTACGCGTGCCTAGTGGGGTATTTGGTTTACGTTTGCCGACTAGGTGCTCCTTTATGCGGACACAGAGGGGTCTGCCTATTTCGCCAATGTATTCGTCTCCGCACGCTTTATAGGAGACCAGATAAACTGTACTCGAGCTCATGCAATCACCGTCTCTACCATTAGAGCAAATTATGCAATTTGTAACTGCCACGACCGACTTTCTATTAACCTCGGCATTGATCAAGTGATTTTGTTCGTATTTTTTTTGAGCAAACGCGAGGTGTTATTGTTCTTTGTTCACGATTAAGCTGACGTTTCGGCGAATTTCGCCTTCTTCAGAGCCTGGAAAGGTCAAGTTGATAGCAATCCACTCGGCCAGACGCGTCCATAACCAAACAAAGAAACTCTAAACCAAGATTTCAATCACTTTGAACACAGCTTTGCACACTCACCGCTTCTTATGAGGTATCCACTAAGCATGTCACGTAGAGACCAACCGCACAGAAATCACATGGAAGTATAATGTGCCCCTCATTTAAGAAACATGTTTCGAACAGCAACCAACGTGTGCACGGGAAGAGAGCAGAGAGAGGAGTTCCGGAACTTGGCACGGCAAATTGCCATTTCTAATGGCTACGAAACTGTATTATTAGAATTGGGACCGAGTTTCTCACCATCTGAACCCATTTCTAAGATAACCTTGTGTAGGGTCGCATGTAGTTTACATGAACTTCAAG